TTCCACAACCTGAGCTATGTCTTCTTAAAATCAATCGAGAAATCCTCTCTCGAGTTCATTCCCATTTACAATCAATTCAACTGCTGGCCAAACAATCGAAAGCATTTAATACAGGAAAACATAAACAGAATCAAAGAACGACAAATAGATCACAGATCTGGAAATCAAAATCAATATATACAAGGTTTCATTTCCCTAAAAGAAAATTCTTAGTTCATTACAAACATAGCATCCAAATGAAGAACACGAGAAATCATAAAGTAAACGTAAAGAAAAGTTTATGAAAAACCCGAGTCGAAACCCTCGTCAAAACTTCCCGCAAAGAACTGGCGAGAACCGAAGAGAAAACCGAAGAAGAAGTCGAGAGATAATCGAGAGTTGAAAAAATGAAAAAGAGACCTTCTATTTATAGTTAGAAATCAAAGAAAAATATCTGGTCTCGATTTCTGTGCCCAGATCGCGATCTGGTAGCCTCGAAAACTGCAGACCGCCTTATCCAGATCGCAATCCGGTTCTTGATAAAAAAATGTACTGTGAGACCCCCCAGATCGTGATCTGGGTCCTGATCAAGAAAATGTACTGCGAGACCCCCGAGATCGCGATACAGGAAGGCTGGATCGCGATCTGGTCTTCTGCGCCAACTTCAAACCCTGATTTGACCCTTGTTTAGCCCGAATTTGACAATTTTTCATTTCACAAAAGTTGTAGATTTTGAAGTTATCTTTCTAAGGCCACTTGAATCAACACAATCGGAGGTTGTATGCAAAAGTTATGCTTGAAATACGAAACAGTGCCACAACCCGCGAATATGCACTTTTGCACGTGTTTGGTTTAATTTTCGGCTTCGCTTCCAAAATCGTTTTGAATCGGCAAAAATAGCTTCTCTTTACCTAAAATATAAATAAAACAAGAAACGCATAATATGTACAAATAAAGCCGAAAACTCAGACGAACGAAGACCAAAACTCGAAAATTCGATAAGTAAAAGTTGTGCAAAATGAACACTTATCACTTGAGAAGGTGTGAGCTTCAAATTTTGTTCCATCGGAGTGACGACTGGTGCGAATCCTAACATGTCTGCTTCGTCAAGAAGGTCGAGCGTGTATTTCCTTTGTGAAATACAAATTCCTTACTGAGATTGCGCAACTTCAATCCCCAAGAAGTATTTCAACCTGCCTAAGTCTTTGACTTTAAAATGTTGATTGAGAAATTTTTCAAGTGCTCATATATCTTCATGGTTGTTTCCCGTGATTATCATGTCATCGATGTAAATCAATACAATCGTAAATGACTGGCCTTTGGACTTGATGAACAACGAGTAATCGGCTTTAGATTGTTTGAATCCAGCTTGACAAAAAGACTTGTTCAGTCGACAAAATAATTTCTCTTTCTCCCCCTGTCGGCTGAATCCACGTGGAGGTGCCATATAAACCTCTTCAATGAGATCGCCATGCAAAAATGCATTTTGTACGTCAAGTTGATAAAGAGACCATCGTTTTGTAGCAGATATTGATAGCAAACACCTTACTGTCACGAGTTTTGCAACTGGAGCAAATGTCTCTTTGTAATCAACGCCTTCAATTTGAGAGTATCCTTTTGCCACTAAACGTGTTTTATATCTCTCGATACTTCCATCAGAGTTATATTTAATTCTATAAACCCATTTACATTCGATGGCCTTTTTCCCTATTGGAAGAGGTGTATATATGTCCAGGTGTTGGTATCCTCTAGTGCTTGAATTTCTTGCCTCATCGCTTCCTCCCATTTTGGATTACCTATAGCCTGCTCATAGGTTTCTGGCTCCAAATTATTAGAATTAGAGACAGCAAATTGAAGATGAGAAGCAGACAAATTCTTATATGTATAATTGGCAAGAGGGTATTTTGTACCTTGTTTAGAACCTGGATATGAAGCAGATGAATGAGATTGAGAGTGCAACATAGTGGCTTGAGGACACTGGAAATCTTTAAGCCAACGGAAAGGTTCTCGAGCTCTGGTAGATCTTTGAAGTGTAATTGGTGAACCTAAATTTTCGGGTAAAGGAGACTGCTCGGGCTCGAGAGTTCGTGATGTAGATACATCAACTAAAATTGAGTCGTGTGGGTGTCCATTTCGGGAATAGGTAGGACTAGTGTATTAGAATCTGGTATAGGAAATTTGATGTGTATGGAAAGATTGTTTCGTGAAAAATGACATCTCGACTTGTTAACATTTTCTTGGTCTCCGAATCCATCAATTTATATGCCTTCTGACCAGATGGATAGCCCATGAACATACATTTGACTGCTCGGGAATCAAACTTATGAGTTGAATTGATATTAATTGCATAACAAAGGCAACCAAAAACTTTTAAATGATTGTAACTAGGAGTTTCTTTGTATAAAATCTCATAGGGAGTTTTCTTTTGAAGAAGAGATGTAGAAATCCTATTAATTAGGTAAACAGCTGTAAGGACACTTTCCCCCCAAAAATGTAAATGTAGATTGGCATGAAATCTTAGTGCTCTAGCAACGTTTAAGATATGCCTATGTTTGTGCTCAACTACCCCATTTTGTTGTGGAGTTGACACATAACTATGTTCAAATAAAACTCCATGTTCATGAAAGAATGAAAACATCGAGGTAAACTCCCTCCCATTATCGGCCCGAATTCTTTTGACTTTTGTATTGAATTGGGTATTAATAAAGGAAAAGAAGGATTTTAGTATACCTTGAGTCTCCGATTTAACCTCATTAGATATAACCATGTGTGTTGGGAATAATCGTCAACAATGGTTAAAAATAGTAAGCACCGGTGAATGATGCTACTTTGAAAGCACCCCATATATCACAATGGATCAATTCAAAACACGAGTTTGTTTTTATTGAACATATCCCAGAAGGCAGTCTTGTTTGTTTTGCGAAATGGCATGCATCACAAAATTTATTGAAATCACAAGAAATCTCTAAACTAGAATTCATAAGATACTTCATAGTAGATGCAAAAATGTGCTCAAGTCTTTGATGCCATACATTGTTTGAAAAAGGTATTTGGTTTATCGATCTTGGGTTTGGCTTTGATGTGAGGTAGTAGAGATCATTATGTTGCTTCCCCAATCCAATCATCTTGGGAAAAAAGTAAGCGAGCAATTTAAGGCAATTGTCATCTTGCTGACATATAAAGGTTCACATTAAAGCTTGGTACATGTAGAACATCAGATATCATAAGATTAGACTCAATTTTTATGGTTCCGGCATTTGTAATCACAGCTCGTTGATCATTTGGAGATGTTGATATCTCTTTGCCTTTCTTCCTGTAAGACCATGGCATAAATTTTTCCAATGGAGGGTAGAGGTTGTAACAACAAAATTTGGCCACGAATTGCTGAATATGTGTCATTTAATCCCATTAGGAATTGCATTACCTTGTTTAACTCGTCTGGTTCAGCAACTTTGGAGTTTGCTCCACAAGTACACACCAGAAGATCATTATAGGATGAAAGTTCATCCCACAGGCTCTTTAATTTAGAGAAGTAAGCCATAACCGAGGTAGTGTCTTGATGTAGTGATGCAATATCCCTTTGCAATTGAAAAACTCTTGGCGCATTATTTTGTGAAAAACGATCTTTTAGATGATTCGGTGTAGATAACATTGTCCGATAATGACGGATCAATCGAATTGAGGAGCCATGATAACACCATGTCATTGCATCTTTTCCATCCTGCAAATTTTGGATCTGCGATAGAGGGCCTTTTGAAAGAGTCGTCTATGAACCCTATTTTATTTTTGGCACTAAGAGCAATGCTCATCGATCTGCTCCATGTTGCATAATTATCACCATTAAGAAGTTTGGTGACTAAACTTGCTCCAGGATGATCAGAAGAATGCAATTGGAAAGGGTCGGAAAGGTCCGGAGTGGTTGTAAGGGTTGCTGGTGTTTTATCGTTACTCACGGTAATTTTTATTTAAAGAAAAAAAAAACTTTCAGGAATTGCTCTGATACCATGTAAAATAATGAAGCATGTTTATTATTCGAGATTAGATTTACATCATAAATGATGATAGACTATTTACCGTGACAAATAGCATGTTTACTATTTAAATAATGTTTATTGCTCAAGTAATGTTTATTTTTCATATGGAATGACTATTGTTTATTATTCGAAATTAGATTTAGTCACTTCTGAATAAGCTGTAGTTTTTTAACCATGTTTTAAGAATGAAGCAAGCAAAGATTGTTAATTTATCGAGTTCCTTTTTTTTTCGTTCGAATTTTGAAGTTTCGATTTGCTTTTCTTTACAGAGGCTATCAGGAGCATCGTTGTTGATTTTTGCAAATAAACAGGATATCCAAGGTTCCCTCTCGCCCGATGAGATAGCCAAGGTAATATGATTTGTGATTATTTGTCTTCTAATCCTTTTTTTCTTTTTTTTTTGGCTTGAAACGGAGAAGTAGATTTCGTTTTCTGCTAATAGTTTTTCGAGAATGTTTCTTGGGGTTGTCTAGGGTCCGAGAGGGGTTGTAATTCTCGGACCTTAACGATTGAATCTGCATGGTATAAAATAATTAAAATTTAATCCCATCCATTAATTTGCTAGTACGAACTAGTACGACTTAGTACGATACTAGAGATTTGAAAATTAGAATACGAACCCAGTAAAAAATGATCGTACATCATCGTACTTACATCGTACTTTATTTAAATTACTTAATTAACCTTGACTCAAATCAATAAATTAAAAAATATTATAATAATTATAATTAATTTTACACCCCTAAATATGAGGGACTATATTTATTTTTATGACTAAGAGGGACCAAATATAATATCAAGGTAAACTTTGGAGACAAAAAATAAATTTTCCCCATTTTAGTGCTTGCAAATAGCACCTCATAATTTTTATTTTATCTATGCGAGCATTTTCATATAAGAACTTGAGATATGAAGCTTTTAATTTATTATTAAAAATTTGAGTTTTATTTAAATTATTTGTTAACCCACTTAAGTATTTAATTTAATTTTAATTTATCTGTAAGTTGTTTTGGCAAACAGATCCTGGTCCTTAAACCCTTCTACAGCCATCGTCGCTCTCTCACTTCACTTCACTCCAAAACCCTAACCCAGAAAATGTCTCCCTATCTCGCTCTCCGCCGCGCCCGTCACCTCTCAACCGTCGCCACCGCCGCCGCAATCAAACCCATAACCATTTCCCAGACCAAAAACAGGATCAGAAAGGGACACGATCCCGACGAGGCCCTCCAAATCTACTCGTCCTTCACCGCCACCAACGACCCCACCACCTCCCCCGCCTCCACGCGCCACCTCCAGGAGCTAACCGTACGCCGTCTCGCCAAATTCCACCGCTTCTCCGACATCAAGGATTTCCTGGAATCCCACAAATCCCAGCCCCAAATCACCAGCGAGCCCTTCCTCGCCTCCCTCATCCGATGCTACGGCATCGCCGGAATGTTCGAGAATGCCGTCAACACGTACAATGAAATGTCCGATCTGGGCACCCCTCGGTCAACTCTCTCGTTCAACTCCCTCCTCTCGGCCTGCATCCATTCCAAGGTGTTCGACCGGGTCCCAATTTACTTCAACGAATTCCCTGCTAAATTCGGGTTCGCACCCGATAAATTCTCCTACGGTATATTAATCAAGTCTTACTGCGAGATGGGGTCCGTCGAAACTGCCATGGAGAAATTGAATGAGATGGAGGAGAAGGGGAATGAAATCGACGCCATCTTATTCACCACGATTTTGCACGCGCTCTACAGGAACAGCAAAATCGAAGAGGCGGAGAAGTTTTGGGATGAAATGGTGACGAAAAAGGGTATTAAGCCGGATGTTGGGTCTTACAATGTGAGGCTTTGCCATAAACAATCGGGAAATCCCGAAGTTTTGAAGGGTTTGATGGAGGAAATGACTAAACTCGAGCTAAAACCGGATATTATTAGCTACAATTATTTGATCACTTGCTACTGTTTGAATGGAATGATAGACGAAGCGAAAAAGGTGTACGATGATTTGTTGAAGTCAAAAGGGAGCAAGCCGAATGCCGCCACTTTTAGGACATGGGTGTTTCATTTGTGCAAGAAGGGGAGGTTTACGACAGGGTATAAGGTGTTTAAGCAGAGCGCGAAGGTTGGGAAGATTCCGGATTTCAACACGTTGAAGTATCTGGTGGAAGGGCTGGTGAAGGAGGGGAATTTATCCGAGGCTAAAGCTCTGGTTCGGACGATGAATAAGAAGTTTGCTCCTGAATTGTTGAAGGCTTGGGAAAAACTCGCCGGAGATCTTGGCCTGATTGTCGCCGAGGAGGTTGTTGGTTCCGGTGAGGTGGAAGCAGCCGGAGTGGATCCGCGTGAAGCGGAAAAGGTGAGTTCTTGAGTAGATTATTTTCTTGTATAACCTTTTCGATTGGTTTTGGTTATTGGTGATGCTTCTCCGTCTCTACTCGAGAGAAATTATATTAATGTTTAGAGGCTTAGAATATCATGCTTATTTTTTTTGTTATTGTTCACAATTATTTGAGCTTTTTATTTGTGATTCGGTCCTCACTATTGCTTCTGCTTCGTACTTTTGGTCGTATAACGTTCTCACTATTGTTCTCGCTTCGTGTAATGTTCTTATTTGATAAGAGAGAACACGTTTTATTGCAATTAAAAACACGTTTTATTGCAATTAAAATTTTCAAAATTTTCGGTGACGAGGCCGGGTCATTTTGTTTAGTAGACGAACGATTGTAACTCCAGTTCTTTCTCTCACTATTGTTCTCACTATTGCTTTGTGTAATGTTCTTATTTGATAAGAGAGAACATTGTAATTAAAATTTTCAAAATTTTCGGTGACGAGGCCGGGCCATTTTGTTTAGCTGACGAACGATTGTAACTCCAGTTCTTTCGCTCGTTTCTCTGGATAAAGTTTGATTTCTAGTTGTAATTAAATTGGTTAGCTATCAATGATATATATTATGGAATGAAGGGCTGTAAAATTTCCATAAAAATTTTGATTACATGTCCTAGTGTTTGAAGGAAATATTGAAGAAATTTTTAAAACTTTATCAAAATAGATATTAAAATGAATGGAAAATGATTTTTTTTTTTCATTTTTGGTCATGAATTTCTCATTTATGGTCTTTGATATACATACACAGATTGGTGTGTCGACACTAGATATATGAGAAAACTTCCAAAACACTTTGGGAAATTTCCAAAATTTTTGTATTACACCATTTGTATTAAATAAAAATAAAAATTGGGATGTGATAAATATCGTTTCAATTTTAATTTTACCTTTTCGACTTTTATACGTGATTTTGACCATTTTTGGCTCGTAATTTGGTCAAAACTCAAAACATGTATTTCGCAGTTTGTTTGAGTTATCTTTGTAATCCAAGTTGAATCGCCAAGATGAACATTGCCCACAACTTTGATGTTTTTAGCTATCTAGAATTCGAAATGTAACTCATTTATAGATAACTCAATCATCCGACATCCAATTTAGTTGATTCAAGTTGAATTATAAAAGTTAACTTAAAGGATTACAATTCATATGTTTTGAATTTTGAAAAATTCAGATTAGAAAAATGTCAAAATAATGCTTGAATATTGGTAAAATGAAATGTCATTTAACATTTTGAATAAAAAATAATAAGAATACAAACGTTCAATGGAACTTGGGCACAATAAAGATGTTGTATGATTAATAAAAGAAAGAAACGCTGAGCAATTCTAAAAAAATCCTAATGGTATTTCTGTAATTATTTATTTTTAATATTTTTTTCCTACTAATTTCTAATTATAATTTTACAATTATCAAAATTAAAACTAACCCGTGAAGAATCCTACCTTATTGCTACTTATGTAAATATTTATTTTTAATATTTGTTTGTACTAATTTTTAACTATAATATTCGACAATTATTAATCTCCTAATTTTCATCAATATATCTCAAATCTTAAGAGATAAAACTAGAAATTCGATATAAATAATACTACATTATTTAATTTTATTATATTAGTGTACTACATTTTCTTATTATGTATTAAATTAATTTTTTTTTTACTATTTAAATAATATCCCGTGCATCGCATGGGGAAAATGATTTTTTATTTATTTTTGGTATGAATTTCTCATTTACAGTCTTTGATATACATACACAGATTGGTGTGTCGACACTAGATATATGAGAAAACTTCCAAAACACTTTGGAAAATTTCCAGAATTTTTGTATTACACTATTTGTATTAAATAAAAATAAAAATTGGGATGTGATAAATATCATTTCAATTTTAATTTTACCTTTTCGACTTTTATACGTGATTTTGACCATTTTTGGCTCGTAATTTGGTCAAAACTCAAAACATGTATTTCGCAGTTTGTTTGAGTTATCTTTGTAATCCAAGTTGAATTGCCAATATTGCATGTTAGGAAAGAAACACGTGCATAAAGCAATGAACATTGCCCACAACTTTGATGTTTTTAGCTATCTAGAATTCGAAATGTAACTCATTTATAGATAACTCAATCATCCAACATCCAATTTAGTTGATTCAAGTTGAATTATAAAAGTTAACTTAAAGGATTAAAATTCATGTGTTTTGAATTTCGCAAAATTCAGATTAGAAAAATGTCAAAATAACGCTTGAATATTCGTAAAATGGAATGTCATTTAACATTTTGAATAAAAAATAATAAGAATACAAACGTTCAATGGAACTTGGGCACAATAAAGATGTTGTATGATTAATAACTAGTATTTTTTCCCCGTGCGATGCACGGGATATTATTTAAATAGTGAAAAAAAAATTAATTTAATGCATAATAAGAAAATGTAGTACACTAATATAATAAAATTAAATAATGTAGTATTATTCATATTGAATTTCTTGTTTTATCTCTTAAGATTTGAGATATATTGATGAAAATTAGGAGATCAAAAATTGTTGAATATTATAGTAAAAAATTAGTACAAACAAATATTAAAAATAAATAATTACATAAGTAGCAATAAGGTAGGATTCTTCACGGGTTAGTTTTAATTTTGATAATTATTAAAAATTATAGTTAGAAATTAGCAGAAAAAAAAAATTAAAAATAAATAACTACAGAAATACCACGAGGGTTTTTTAGGGTTGCTCAGCGTTTCTTTCTTTTATAAGACACTTAAATCAATTTTTTTTATTTAACAGAAAACAAAAAAAACAAGGCAAATTCGTTTGCAAACGTTTATTTATTGGGCAAATTACCAAAACCCCCTGAGGTAAGTCTGAATAACGAAAATCCCCCCCACGTTCTCGTAATTACGAAAACCCCCCTGAGGTATGCAGACATCTTACAAATCGCTCTAACGGTGTTAAACTCGATAGAATCTTTTTGATTCTCCCGAATATTCCTCTGATAATACCAATTTTGCCCTTGTACACGAAATTACCCTTAGGGGGGTAATTGTAAGCATTTTATTTAATGAGGGGTCATAAATATATAAATAAAATCCAATTCCTCTCACGCAAGACCACAATCAGAAGACACATTCGAGATTGACTTCAAGCTTCAAAGCCTCACCGGGATCTTGCCTGCCGCCGAGAACTCGCCCACACACCGACAAAACTTGCCTCGCCGCCGGAAAATAAGTCCTCCATCGCCGCCGTCTAAGATGTCCTCTATTGCCGTCGAAAAAACGTCCTCCATCGCCGCTCACAAATGTCGACTTTTAATTCGATACACAAGTGTCGATTCTTTTCAAAAATTTCGACATAACAGGTAGGTGTCGAATTTAAGAGGAAAATTTGACGGTCGATGTTAGAGGGAGAACTAATCCGCCGATGCCACTGAATTACTTCGGCAATTGCTTGGGTGGCGGAATAGCGAAAATCAAGCACAAAACACTTGTCGGGGAAGAAGGGTTTGTAATTGCTGCGGAGGCTATAGCTTTGGATATTAAAAACAGGGTGAATAACAAAGACGAGGTTTTGAAAGGTGTCGAGAATTGGATGTCCGATAGTGAGAAATTTGTAGGGATGAGGACAGTTGGGGTTTCCGGTTCGCCGAAGTTCGACTTGTGCGATGCGGATTTCGGATTGGGAAGGGCGAGAAAGCTTGAAGTCGTGTCGATTGATGGAGAGAAGTATTCGATTTCGTTGTGCAAGTCGAATGATTCCGAAGGAGGACTGGAGATTGGGTCGTCTCTTCCGAAGGACGAAGGGAAGAAGACGACTCAATATATTTTTCTCCTTTTTTGTTTTTTGTTTTTTTTTTTTGTTTTTATTTCTTTTTTTGTTTTTATTTCTTTTTTTCTGTTTTTTAAAGATTAATTTATATTTAATATACAACATGTAAGTGGGGGTTTTCGTTTATATTTAATATACAATATCGGTTTAATACTCCTCTGGATAAATAAAATCAATTAAAATATATAAATAAAAAAAATTCGGTCAACCGTTAGTCAAGGGGGGTTTTCGTAATTACGAGAACGTGGGGGGAATTTTCGTTATTTAGGCTTACCTCAGGGGGGTTTTGGTAATTTGCCATTTTATTTTCACATATTTAACAGAAGGATATAATAGACATTTCACGTTTTCGGTTAAAAAAATTCGGTCAACCGTTAGTCAAGGGGGGTTTTCGTAATTACGAGAACGTGGGGGGGATTTTCGTTATTTAGGCTTACCTCAGGGGGGTTTTGGTAATTTGCCCTTTATTTATTGAGTTTGGCTAGTTGGGCCTGCTTTGGATAAAATTACAACCTCCTCTGTGAAATATAGTGTAATTACAAAAAAAAAATCTCTTTTATTTTAAAACATTACATCCAGCCCCTTGAATTTTGTAAATTTATTACATCAACCACCTATAAAAGGATGTCAATGTAAGAAATCTATAAAATTCGTTTGTAAATTACATCCAGCCCCCTGAATTTTGTAAATTTATTACATCCCCTACCTACAAAAGGATGTTTATGTAAGAAATCTATAAAATTCGTTTGTAAATTACATCCAGCCCCCTGAATTTTGTAAATTTATTACATCCCCTACCTACAAAAGGATGTTCATGTAAGAAATCTATAAAATTCCAAGGGATTGATGCAATTATGGTAATATGAGGCACTACAAAAAAAAAATTTGAGTGACAACACCTATTTTTCACATATAGTTAGGCAACAAGTGTTGTCAATATGCTTGTCACTAATGAGGTGTCGCTAATGTTCTATAGTGACAATAAATAAGGATTAAGTGATAATAAAAAGAGCTATTAGTAACAACAACAAAAATATTGTCACTTAATATGTGCATTAAATGACAACTTTGTATTTGTCACAGTTGATGTGCCGCTAATGCAACTTTTTCTTGTAATGAGGGGTTATTTCATAAATAGATCTTACTTTAGGGGTAATTGTAATTTACCCTAATTTTATAGTGATTGACTTCAAAATAAACTCAACAATGTCCTGCCCTATTAAATTTTACAATTGTTAGAGAATATATGATTTAGGGTAAATTACACCTACACTTCTGAGGTATACTTAAATAACTTTAAGGTCCCTGTGGTATCGATAATTACACTTACCCCCTTGAAACATAGTTATAAACTCTAATGGTATAATGCATTGGATACGTTATTACGATAGAGTTCTAACGGACTATTGGTTTCAGGAAGTGGTGAAGACAACAAAAAGTTATGGGTGACTTAAGAAATATTGGGGGAGCCATGT